ACGAACTTTAATTCTTCGTGAAAAGATCGCAAGATTAGAGGAAGTAGTTGCATCGATTGACACTTGATGAAGAATTTGAATAAATGGTAAATGTACCTTTAAGTCATAATTGCATCAAATTCTTTTTTTAAACTTCAAAGCTGTATAAAAACTTAAAATAAGCAGTTATGGACTGTCAGGAAAGATATAGAAATTGCTGAAAAATATCCAAAAAGTAGTAAGCAAATTTGTCCACAAAATCGCGCTATAAACAAAATATAAAAAATAATTTCTTGCACCAGGTGTTATGCGTAAACTCAATGTAAATCTTCCTGTAAATTTGTGAAAACAGATAAACGTGCTGAATTTTTGCATCGTGAAATGTGATTTCGATGAACATTGTCCAAAAGAATCCGTTTAAGGATTTAAAGGACTTCTTTAAACACTTATTGTCTTAAAGAGAGCAAAGAATGTTTTGAAAAATTAAGAAGAAGAAACAAAAGAACGGTTATCATTTAAAGGACGATGTTAGCAGCTAGAGTTTCTCAGTACTTCAATCCCTTTTGTTGATTTTGCCAATTCAACTTCCATCAAATTGATAAATATCGTCGTTCTTAATGTAAACTGTAAATGAACAATGAACTTTGGGGTTGTTCAAATGTTTAAAGTATTAGCTTAGTCTTGGACCTAAAATCTGAGTGAAGTTGCAATCATCAAAGAAAGACCATAAATCAAAACTGAGCTTCATGATATTTTTTTTATGAATCCTTGTGATTTCAATGTTTTCGGTGCTGAATTACAAAAGTTATCTGTATTTTATATTTTAATATTTAAGGTTATGTGAAGTCTAATATTATTAAAGGACGTTATTTCTAAACGATTTGTCCACAATGATTCAGATTTGAAAAAAATGTTCAAAAATTCAAAAATAACAAGTTAATTAAACTATATGTTTTAAATGCCAGATTAAAGAACATGATGTGTTTTATGTTCTGTAAAAATATCACATTCCAATTTGTTGTCTAATTCACAAAAATTCGATTTTAAGATGCCAATAAAATTGTTTACAAAATGACAACAAATATTTTTCTTAAATTTTTTCTCCTTTCCACTTCAAATTTCTTGTTTTAATCCTGATAACCAGCTTAATTAAGCTTAGTACTTTGTGTTTGTGTGAAGAAACCAAAAGAAAACCTATTAATTGGGCGAATATACATGATTAATTTTTTTGAAATTTACCAAGACTTTAAACACTCATAAGTTAAATTCGCGTCTTTCCGCTTCTACCAAACCTATTTAAATATAAAGAACAAAGTCTAATTAACCTTCCATATTAATGTGTACATGCCCAAATATGCCCGAAGCGAGATATTTGCGATTGAAAATTAGTTAATTTTTCATACAAATTACTATCGTGCGCCAAATTTTTTGATAAACATTTGTGAAATTTGTAAAAAAAAACTTATTTATCCTCAATTTCATGACTTAATATTTTGAGGAATCAATAATCAAGTAAGATTAAAGGCATTAAAAGTCCTAAACTAGAGAATATCAATAAAAAATTTCATTACTTCAATGTGTCTGAAAAATATTATGCACAAGGATTATTTGAACATTTTTTTCAAATCTGAATCATTGTGTTGTCGTCAGTTTTCTGAAAATTGGTTCGTCATGTAAATACACAGCAATCATTTATTCAGACCATCAATAGCTGTTGTGAATTTTATTTATAAGCAGATTCAGTCACGCAATCAGGGAAAAGTAGGGTAAATTAAACCAATTTAAGATAGGAACTTGTCCAAAAACCAACGCAAATGATTTTTAATTCTAATCCAATGCTCCCTAAACTATATCTTGTCCTGATCTTAGCTAGGCATCTATAAAACTCATTAGAATGAATAAATAAAAGTCAATAAAATGGAAATGTTGAATTAATATTTCCATAAAAGTTTCATATTCCACAAAATTTTCAATTTTTGTGAATATTTTTAATTCATTTTTATTTATTATTATTCATTTTAAACCAGCCTTATTTTCTATGTCAATGTTAAGCATTATTCCAGTCAATAGTATTTTTATAATAAATATTTATTTCGAGTAATGTGTCCATAAGTTTTCGTGTTTAAGTAAAAATCAGATATCCCAATAATCTCTATCGGCCTGTTTCACTAAGGTGGATTATCCTCATTTTAGGATTATCTATTTCTTCGATGCGTGGAAAATCCAAATAATTCTTACTGATGTAGAATTAATTGGTGAATAATAATCAGAACAGTTTAATAAAAAATCTTTTTATTTTATAGTGAATATAGCGAAAAAATAATTTTAGTGTATGGATTATCCTAAGATTATCCGAATTTTCAATCTTGGGGGGACCCAGTTTTAACATTTTAGATTAATTATGTAGATAATCCTAGGATGATATCAGGATAATCTTCGGATAATCGACCTACTAGGATAATCTTTTTTGTGAAATCCATCATCAAAAAATTGTTTTCTTTAAATCTATTTTTTCTGATTTATCGTACAATTTAACGAATTATAAAATTTTATCGATTATCCTCGGATTGAAAAATTGGACGATCCGTTTGTTGGATCATCCACCTTAGTGAAACAGGCCGAAAGATTTATTCTCAGTTATTTCTTTAAATTGTCTCTTCCACCTGCAATTTAATTAAGAAGCATTATTTCGATATAAAACATAATACCCGAACATACAAAGAGCATGCTCAGAAAAGTGAGCATATAAGTGAGTCTACTCATGCAAGCTCATTCAACTGAGCATGCTCAGGAGTTCATTACGAATGTACTCACTTTATTTTTTTTGCAAAAAATTTATAAGCTCACGTGAGTACATTCAACGAGTGTACTCATGAGAATATTAAGAACATACTTATGTGAATTCACTCATATGAGTTCATTTACTGAACATGCTTATGAGAATATTAAGAACATACTCATGGGTATTTACTTTTATGAATACACTTCCTAAACATACTCATGAGCATATAATGAACATAATTATATCTGTATGACATTTTCAAAAATGTCGACCAACTTAAAATCGAACTTAGAATACATTTTTATGTAAGTCGACATTTTCAAAAATGTCGACCAACTTAAAATCGAACTTAGAATACATTTTTATGTAAGTCGACATTTTCAAAAATGTCGACCAACTTAAAATCGAACTTAGAATACATTTTAATGTAAGTCGACATTTTCAAAAATGTCGCAATTAATTTTAAGTTGGTCGACATTTTTTATAATATTTTCTCACGATCGTGCTCTGATCAACTCAAATATTTCATAAAAATATAGTTCAATTAAGCAGCGTATCAAACTTCAAAGAACTTAGTTTGCCTGTAATAATATAATAATTTAAGTATGTGTTTTGCCATATAAAAATTATTATATATTTACAGAAAATTGCTCCAAGGAAAAGTGTGAAGTGACAGAAGTTAAGCAACGAAAAAGGTTTTTATACAAGGATGGGTGACCGGTTTTTAAATCTTCCTTCTTAAGTATTTGAGATATAATGTTAACAATAATTTCTAACCCTTCCAAAATTATTCACAGAAATTATCCTTATAAAACACAAATTTAGCTTAATTAATTTTTTGAATTTTGCAACTTCACTTGAGTGCATGAGTGCTCAGATGAGCATATACTCATAAATAAACTCACTGAGCATATATCTTTTGAGTATCTTCATGAGTATATGCTCTTTGAGAATGTTCATAAGTATATTCAATAAAAAATGTTGCATTAAAAAAATATTGCGTGTGGCATGTTGCCTTCTCATTTGAGTATGCTCATGAGTTTACTCAGTGAGGTTAATGCATGTCACATAGAAATGTGCTCACTGAGCACACTCAAAAAGGTACCGTGATCGCATCACTTTAATGTATGAAATGAGCACATTCTCACAAAAGTTTGCAAGCTCACAAATAATGTGCTCTGAGTATACTCATTGTATGTTCGGTATAAATAATCATAAAATCATCGAGAGTGCCTTTTATGCTGAAATCTCTTGCGAAAATGATACAACTTAATAAATTAATCTAAAAAGTTACAGTCAGTTATGGAAACTCGAAATGCTTTTCACACATATACATCCAAACAAAACGAAGTAAAGCATCCCCTCTGTCAACAAAACTATTCAATTTTTATGAATATTTCTTATTTTGCAGGAGAGATTGAATAAAGAACTTTAAGTTATAAATTGAGGAGTTGTTTTGGGTCTGTTCTCTAAAAAAGCAATCTTTAGTTCAATCCTCTTAATAGTGGTATAACTGAATAGTTTGATATAAATATCGTTACCCAAAGTCTAGATATATCCAAGGAAAAATCTTATCATTAAGAAAAAACAGTGGATCGTTTTGATGGAAATCTTCTCCATCTCATCTTGCGCATCGCTTTTTGTTAAAATATCGAATATCTTTAATAGCTTGTTCATTAATGATGTATGAGAACAGATTCTTTTGCGATTTTTGGATGTTGAAAGCAATCGACCTTATTGTAGACAGGTTCGTAAATGATGTTCAACTATTAGGAAGGGAGCTTCAGAGCTAGCCTGTATGACACCTGAATAACAAAAAATTGTGAACTAGAAAGAAGAAGGTTCAAAAACTAATTTGTTATAGACTTCATTAGCAAATCTTCCCTAATTTGATTACTGTTTAAAAACTATCAAATTTTCATGCACGCATCGATTAAGCAGCATTGAGTGATTAAAAACGGTTTTTGCGGTTCCATTAACTACATACAATTAATATTTTCGAAAATGTGGGACAAATAATAATAAATGCGTAGGTGAAATTTCTCAATTGAAATGTACTTAATTTATTTTGTTACATGGAACATAATTTTTTTTAAAAAAATGGATGAAATTTTATACTTTTTAATGATACTGAGTTTCAAAAGCTTTAAATTTGATTTAAATTCGACAAATTTAGTAAGAAAGTGTCAGAAGGAGAAATTACAACTAATGATTAAATTACTTTAAATTAATGATTAAGGGCTTTTTTCCTGTTCTTTCAAAAAAAAGTATTAAGGAATCTAAAAAAAATTAAACAAATGGATATCCTAATAATGGATCTGAAACTAAAACTTATCAGACAAAAAATTGAGATTTTTTTAAACAGAATTTAAGAAATGGACATTGAGAGAGATCTACTTCCTAATCAACGATAAATTCATTCAGTTTATCATATTTTTCTTTAGTCTTTTCATCATCCGTATTTACTAGGAGCAATGAGTGGCTGTATCCCATTGCAACTTGTGGAATTTTCATTTCTGCCATCTTTGTAACTTCTTTTGGCTGAGATGATGATTTTGTCAAATCACCGAGACCCAATTCACCATAAGTTGGCGATGCACCCCATACAATGAGCGAATCGTCTGCTGAGATTACGCTTGATGTGAATCCACATGCAACATGAGTAATGTTCCAGCCTGGATAAATAAATTATTGCTCATTAAATCAAATTTTTAACAGGTAACTTGTTTACTTACCGGCAAGATCTTGAACTGGTTTTGGATACATGTTTGCTTCACCAGTCTTCTTATTTTGTCCGAATAAAAACAATTGTCCAGCATCTGGAATAGCCAATGTGAAAGAAGATCCACAGAAAACTCTTCGTACTCCACGATTTGACGAGTCAAAGAACTTGATTAATCGTGGAACCATTTCATCTTTTTGTTCAGCATGTCCTAAACGTCCGACACCACCAAATCCCCAACTAAAGCATCTTTTTTTGCTGTCAATGGCAACAGAATGATTTGCGCCACAAGAAAAATCAACAATCTGAACATCATCAACTGGTGTAACGTGACCGTCTTTTGCCTTTTCAATGTACAATGGAACTCGCTTTGGCGATGTTTCAAAATGGAATGACATTTTTGATGAAGTGATAAAGTATTTGCCATCTGTATTGTGGCCTAATTGACCATATTCTGGCAAGCCGAATGTATGTAAGTTGCCTTTTATGTCCAAAATGACAGAGAATTCGGCACCACAGCCGACTTTAATGATTGGTGGACCATTGTAATTTATTCTCGTTGCCTTTGTGATCATTGGAGTTGTCGATCCAACACCACATTGTCCACTTTTATTGTCTCCTGCAGCAAATACAAGACCCGTATCAGTTAGGAACAATGTGTGGTTGCGTCCACAAGCTGCATCAATTATATCAAATCCTTCTAATCCAGCAACTGGTGTAGGCTTCTCATATGTCTTCAATTCTGGCTGTCCAAGCTGCCCCATAGTATTTCGTCCTAAATTAATCAATTTTACTACACATCCATTATTTTATGGAATAAGAATAGAAAACTTACCAAAAGTTAAAGCTTTGCGATCCATGGAAATGAGAACAGAGTGAGCAGAAGTCGATCCACTTACAGCCAATCGATACTTGTCCTCGGTGAAACGATTAAAGTAATACAAATTTGGACGTATCTTAATGCCTCCTTTTGTATCAGTCTTTTTACCGACTAAATCCCATGTTACCATACCAGCAATAAGTAATCTGCCTGGCTCACGATCTCTCGAGGCGAGCAATTCGTCAGGCAATTTAGGCAAGACAGCTCGTTCATCAAATGTAACAGGTGCAGATCCATTACTCTCATTAATTTCATCATGAAAATCGTCACTCAAATCTGAATCGAAAGAATCTTCAGTCTTCTTTTTACCGCGCTTTGCGGTCTTCTTAACTGGCTCTGATTTACGCTTCGATGCCATTTTTTTTCTCTTTGTGTGAATTTACGTATTATTGTTATTGTTGAGAAAATGTTGTTTTGGATCAAAGAAGTTGGTGTTATGCGAAAAATGTAACAATACAAGGAAAGTTTCTGTAAGAAAAATAAAGCAAAATTGTATATTATACACGTATGTCTGAATGGGAGGTGAGAGGAAGAAAGAATGAGTGAGTGAGTAAAGAAGAGGATGTTACAGTTACAAGAATAAAGCCGAAAAGAATCTACTTAAAATGTTATATGTATCTCTTTCCATTCAATTGTTTCTGCACACACAATTAAAGGTGCGATTTGTGAGCACAGGGTGACTAGCATGTAGGATTTATAGAAATGCCATAAATCCTTCTAATTTGATGTTACCAATCGATTTTTTACACACAAAAAGATATCTGATCTTGTCACCCTTAATGATTTATGACGCTCTTATTCGTCTGGGATAATTTTCACAAAAAATCAATCGTTTTGAAGATAAAAATGCGATTTTAATTCACAAGAGCACTATGTAGCTTCTGTATATGCATGTTTTTTGCACTTTTGGGCGCAAACTTGGTGCTTTCATTTGAATTGTGCATTTTCTGAGCAATTTTGGAACCCAAACAAAAGCATTATTTTCTTAACAAAATAAACCTTAAAATCGAGTCAAAACTATCGATGCTGAGAGTTTATCGAGTAAACAATCCACTTATTAATCGAATTAACATGTTTTAAGTGATAAATTTGATTTACTTACCTCTTTTATAAAATTAATTACTTTGCAAGCCGAACAATTTGATAAACAAGCTAAATGACAATTGAAACTTTTTGCTTTTTTGTACTAATTGATATACTTCTAATTATTTAAACTATTTAAATTCACTTAATAAGATAATTTGTTTAAAAATGTTTCTACTTTATGCTTTAATTAATGATAATTTGAGCGATTTACTTCAAGAGTTTTGGGCTTGTGTAATTTTTCGGTGGAATTTTAAATAATTGGTTTTAGATTTCGAATTATCGAAATTAACGGTTTTTATCTACGTTATTGACACAGATTAGTTTTTGAAATATTGCTGATTATGCTTTTAAATTGCAGCATACAGCAATATTAGATACACATTCTAGGAACTTTTAAATGGTATTAAGCTACCTGCATAGAATTTAGTACAGAAAGGTTATCGGAATTGTCAAAAACATGCGAACAACATTTTGTAAAAAATAACGATCAATCATGGATTCAAAAAGCACAACATTTTAAAAACAAATATATTTGAGAAAAATAACGGTTATTCGAAAATTCAAAAAACACAACATTTCAAAAAAAAAAAAAAATAATTTGTAATTTTCGAACTTTTTGAATAGTTCTACATTTTAATTTAATTTATGAGAGTTTATCGGGATTTTTAGCATAAAATTGTTAAATTTTTTTACTCGTAAAGTGTTGATAGTCAAAATTATCAAGTTTTTAGTGTTTTTTACTGCAATATAGGCACATTAAAAGAAGAAAATGAAAAGTTGAAAAATTGTGAATTTTAGTTTTCAAAAAAAAAATTGGTTTGAGACACAAACAACAAAATAATAATGTAAAATAAGTTGTAAAGCATATCGCTGTCTAGTTCCATAAATAGTGCAACATAATTAAGTGCAAGAAAATGGATCGTCGAAATGGGGGCTCAAATTCTCATCAAAAAATACGAATTACAAGTAATGGAAAGAATATTGCATATTAAAATAACATAATTTAATCTCTTCGTCTTTATTTCTTTTTCATTCAATCTACATGCAGTTCTTGGAGCAAGGAATCTCGCTCGAAAAGACTTGTTTAGTAAGTTTATAACATTGTTTTTTCTTCCTTCCTTAACTTCTCGTCTCGTCTCGACTTACAATTTATTTTATTACTTCTTAATTTTTGCATCTTCGTGCTGCCTGCTCAAATGGCTTATTAGTATTTCAATTTCGTCAATCAAAAAAAAATACAGTCATTTGAAATTCTTGGAAGTATGTGCAATTGAAAAATAACTCGTCGACAACTAGACATGTACATATATATATATACATAGAAAATGTCTAAACAGCCTTGCATCCAATTTTGTGTATATCTCGATGCTTAATTTGATTTAAATAGCGTCAGATTCGTGAGAATTAATAATATGTTTTTGTTATCATGAAAAATATATTTATTATGTGTCTCAATGATCCTCTACTAACACTACACATGCAAGCCGACAATAAACACTTGGATAGATATAGTTTATAATTTCGCATTAAACGATGCTGTCAACAGAACTGTCTTTGTCACATTTTCTAAAGTGATAATTATCATGATTATTTCTATAGCACATACATGTGTGATGCTCTCATCTCTATCACTCGCTCGTCAATCTGTGCATAGATATATTTTGATTTGTTGCGCATTATAATAGTGTCATAATCCACATTAAAAAATGTCTAAATCGAAAGCAAAAAAGAGAATAAAATAAAGTGGAAGAAAATACTGTAATGTTAATGTATATATGGATGGCAGGAAGTGCACTGAATTGTAAAGACAAAAAAAAATACAATACATAGCAAAATGAGAGTAAAAAAAATTACCAAATTACTTTTTTAAAGTTGTCTCTTACCTCTTCTTCACTTACATTCTTGATATATGGACATAAATATGTATGCCTTATGTGTACATAAAAATTGTATCAATATGTTTACAGTAAATGTCCTTCACTCACGTTGTCTGCTGCCGTCGCCCGACCAATTATTATCTCAATTTGTTTTAGTGTGCGATAATCAGAAATCAATGACATTTTCGACGCATTCTTGCATAAGAATTTATTTATTCAGCTTTTCGGCGACCTGGAACTTTTGTTTGTAGGCGCTCAAAACCCGAGCGACACATTCTATTGCAGAAACATGTTATAACATTTTGTCTTTAACACTGTAACGTGACAATGTTTTGATGACTTTTTTGTCTAATCTTAGTGATGCGACAGTGGTTTGACAACATCTTGACGATTTTATTGTATTACGTTTCTTTATTGTGTCTCTCGGTTAAAATCAACTCAAAAAATCCCTTCTAAGCCAAACAAGTCTAGTCAATACTTTTATTATTGTAACTCCATTTATTGTCTTCCTTTTGATATGAGTTTCATTATTATTTTCCATTCTGCCATATCAATAATTAGAGCTTGAGTAATTGCGATTTTTATCTCTTGCGAAAGATGATAAAACACTTTTTTTTCATTGATATCAGAACCGAACAAGTTGCGGTGTGTCAATTTCTTCTTTTCAGATGATTGACATCGCATCTGTGACTTTAAAAGGCTATAGACTCTCACAGTAATGCATTTAACGATGTGCTAATTTCAATTAAACATCCTTGTCGTGTGAAGAATATGTAACAAAAAACAGGCTTTAAATTTGTAGTATAATGAAGTAAAATCATGACAGTTGTTGAATAATTTGATTTCTTATAAAATTTTTGATGTCGAGAAATTAAAACAATTGAAATTTGACACCTTTGAAAGTAACTGAGGGTCTTTGACCACAAATCTTCTTCTTCATCCCTAATGAAACTTTATAATAATAAAATTTAATCATCTATAGGACTTCCTGATCCTTTTGCAAAAGTCGTCGTTGATGGAGGTCAAGTTTTCACGACGGAAGCATGCAAAGCAACAGTTGATCCAAAATGGAGCTCTCATTACGATCTGTTTTTGGCGAGAGGCGATGGAGTAACGATATCTGTGTGGAATCAAAAGAAAGTGCTTAAAAATTCTGGAAGTGGCTTTATGGGATGTGTGAGAATAACAGCATCAACTGTTCAAAGACTCAAGGATACTGGATATCAGAGATTAGATTTATGTAAATCATCTCCTGATGATCCAACGCCTGTAAAAGGACAAATTATCATTTCAATGTTGTCTCGTGATGCTGTAACTGGATCTGGAGGAAATCCATTAGCAATTGTTGGTCCGGCAGGTGATATTCGTGGACCAGATGATGATGATTCAAATAATTCCGAACCGAGACAAAATAATAATAATAATAATAGTAACAGCACTAATATAACAAGCAATTTACCTGATGGATGGGAAGAAAGAAAAACGGTAGATGGACGAAGTTATTATGTAAATCATGTATCAAGAACTACACAATGGTCACGTCCTACACAGCCAGCAACAAGTAATGCTTCTAGTAATGCAGTACCACAAACGCCTGTCACAAACGGACATCATGCAACTGAATCGAATAGTAATAACAATAGTAGCAGTAATAATAATTCTAGCAACACACAACAAAACAATAATAATAATAATAATAATAATAGTAGTAATAATAATAATCAATCTTCGGGTCCTGGACCATCGCGGTCAACGACAATGAGTAATATCGAGCAGAGTCCATCAAATGGAAGTCTCAATAATTCAATAATAACCGAAGTTACAGGACATCGACGACATTCATCCGAAAATATTATAGGAACTACAACATCAACACAAATTGGTGATATCAGTAATAGTAGTAGCACAAATAGTATTGAAAATAAAGCATCATCACCAACATCAGCAGCAAATCCTATATCAACTATTATATCTTCCCCACGTAATTCCATTCATATTCAAAATGTTAATAATCTAGCATCAAATTTGAGTTCTTTAGCAATTGAAAGTAATACAATTTCAAGTGACTCAAATCAGCAGCAGCAGCAAAACATAACGCCTGCAAACGTTAATAGTAGTGTAAGAGTTCTAAATAAATCGACCAATTTATCACCAACACAGCAACAACAAGTGCCTCCAAATATTAATCCAAACTTCACTGCCCCAATCAATTGTGAACGAAGCCGTTCGCCATCAACGAATTTACAGCCAAGGAATGACGACAATTCGCAGTCATCAACGCCACAAAGATCAGCAGAAGTGATTCAAAATCGTAATGCCACTGATGGTAAGGGAATTGCTTACTTACCGTTAATGACTCATGTTCATATTTTCTTATTATAGCACAAAGAGCACGAAGAACGTCTAGAACCGCTGAAGAATCGCAAAGAAGACAACGACAAAGACAATTGCGACAAGTTCCAATAATTGGTTCAGTTCGGCCAAGCATAGTGAGACCAGCTATCGATTTACCACCTGGATACGGTAAGCATATACAGTAACAATGATTAAGTGATAAAAAGTATTGCATTACCCCCAATTGGCAAAGAGCACATGAAGAGCATATTCTCATTTTACTGAGTGGACTCTCATGAGTATGCTCTTTCATACAATAATTTATGCCACTGCTTTACGCCTAAAAGTGACTCTCCTAAGCATACTCACTAAGTTACACTCTGAGCACACTTATACTGAACACATGAATTCCTGTAAATTTGCATATGCTCAATTTTGTGAGCACAATCTTTGAATATAATTGTACACATTACTCATAATTCAGAATTCTTAATCATGTACATAGAAATAAAATTTTGTTTAAATGTTTATTTTGCAGAAATGAGAACGACACAACAAGGTCAAGTTTACTTTTTCCACATTCCAACTGGCGTATCTACATGGCATGATCCGAGAATTCCACGAGATTTCGACATACAGTCTCTGACTGTCGATCAGTTGGGTCCACTTCCGAGGTGAATTCAAATTCATGTTAACCATGAAGCATATGTCTTACAATATAAATGATTTATTTATCTCATTGCAGTGGATGGGAGCAAAGGAAGACAGCAAGTGGACGTGATTATTTTGTAAATCATAATAATAGGACAACACAGTTTACAGATCCAAGACTAAATGGACAAGTTTTAAATGCTTTGAGACGTTCAGCAGCTGTTCAGGCAAATACCAGTTCTGCTCAACCGCAAGTTTCAAACGGCCCAACTGCAATCATTCGACCAAATAATGTTGTCGAGCATCGATCAAATATTATTACTAATACAGCCGTTACGGGAAATCTATCGTCCACATCACATCCGACGACTGGAACTAATATCATTTCTAATTTACCAATAGAATTACTCGAAAGTGAACTGCCTAAATATCGAAGAGATTTAGTTGGTAAGTTAAAGGCTCTCCGTTCTGAATTACAAACGCTCCAGCCACAATCAGGACATTGTCGACTCGAGGTATCACGTGCAGAGATTTTTGAGGAAAGTTATCGATTAATAATGAAGATGCGACCAAAGGATATGAGAAAGTAAGCATAAAATTTGATATACACGAGTGCTAATATTGACTATTGTTATACTTTTTTTTCAGACGACTGATGGTTAAATTTCGAAATGAAGAAGGGTAAGTCAGACATATGCTTTATTGACCTAGTTTATATCCTTATAATGTTTTGTCATTAATTTCTCACTTTAAGCTTGGATTATGGTGGAATCGCACGAGAATGGCTTCATTTATTGTCTCGAGAAATGCTTAATCCACAATATGGACTGTTTCAATACTCAAGAGATGATCAATATACACTACAAATCAATCCTGATTCGAGTAAGAACCTGTTTATTATGTTATTGGCTATTTATCTTTATTATTTGTGGAGTTGGATATGAACGGTTGATTGATGAATTATAAATAGGTGCGGTGACTCATTTGTCGATATTTAAAGGGTTGATTCTTAAGTGATGTCTAAAACGAATTTAATTTCTTGATTCAATCAATCACACAGTTGCACAGTCTTTAAAATTATGTTGTGTGACACATTAGTGTGTGTGTGTCGTGATTGTTGTGCAACACGATTTCACGTGTCGTAACACATTGCTTTGTAACATGTGTTTCTTTGAGGTCGTTCAAAGGTGGGAGGTGTCTAAATTTTCTAATTTATGACAGACATAACTTATATACAACCCCTCCGTGTACAATATAGTTGCGAAAAGTGAAAAGTGTAAAAATACTACGGAAATTAATCATAATCAATTATATCATCCATCCTACAAAGTAGAGCATTTTGATTAATTTCATCAACTCATATAGTCACTTCCAATTTCTAATGCTTATTTAACGAGAGTTCAAAGAGCTTCCATTCATAAAAAGGCAAATCAAAGCTATTTGACCTATTTTATTAATTCTATAGAAGCTATTTATGTAATTTAATTCATATTTTTATTATCATTGTTATTGATACTTTTATTAAGGGCTCGTATCAATGATTTAATGACGACTATATCAAGTTTCCGTCTTTTGAAAATATTTTCATATCTCATTAATTGTTAGCAATTTAGTTTGTACAGAAATAGTGCTTTATTGCTGCATCTATCTATTTCGAGTGTCGATTCATTAATTATTTTATTTTTTTACAGGTGTCAATCCCGATCATCTCTCATATTTTCATTTTGTTGGAAGAATATTAGGCATAGCTGTTTTTCACGGACATTGCTTAGACGCTGGATTTACATTACCATTCTATAAACAGCTCCTGAATAAACCGATTACATTGCCTGATATTGAAGCCGTTGATCCAGAACTTCATAGAAGTCTGACATGGATACTGTAAGATACTAGCTCTTTATTTAATTATATATACTTCATAATTGAATATTTTTTAGGGAAAATAACATTTCAAATGTAATAGAATCAACGTTCAGCGTAGAGAATAATAGCTTTGGCGTCTTAAAAGTACACGAATTAAAACCTAACGGACAACAAATTACAGTAACTGAAGATAATAAGAAGGAATATGTGAAACTTTACGTCAACTATAGGTTCATGAGAGGAATAGAACAGCAGTTTTTGGCCTTGCAAAAAGGTAATATTTGGGTTTATGGTTTAAAATTTATTGAGAACACAAAATCGTATCCTATGTGTTACTATTGACACTGCATTTTGTTGATCTCAACTACCTAGGATATATGACCCAAGAAATCCAAAGTCTTTGAGCCCACACAATTTATATACAATAAAAATTATTCATGAACTTTAAATATCGTTCTAGGTTTTTGTGAATTGATACCGAATCAATTGTTACGTCCATTTGATGAACGCGAGCTTGAATTAGTGATTTGTGGAATAAGCAATATTGATGTTAATGATTGGAAGCAATATACTCGTCTTAAACACTGCACGCCTGAAACTCCACAAGTTCTATGGTTTTGGCAGGTAAGAAAAAATTAGAATCAATTATATATGATGGATATTGATGCTTAAATATGTGTATTTCAAGGTGGTTGAATCATATGCATCAGAGATGCGAGCAAGACTGCTACAATTTGTGACTGGCTCGTCGAGAGTTCCACTGCAAGGATTCAAAGCACTCCAAGGAAATACTGGCGCTGCAACTCCACGTCTATTTACAATTCATTTAACGAATGACGTTCCAATACAGAATTTACCGAAAGCACACACATGCTTTAACCGGATTGATTTGCCACCGTATGACAGTTATCAATTATTGTATGATAAATTGAGTCAGGCAGTCGAGGAAACATGTGGATTTGCCGTGGAGTAAAGGGTATAATCGTGCACATTTTTTTTTTTTTTATTAATTGTATACAGACATCAAACACACAGCATATTTTAATTAAAATTATTATTATTATTTTTATTTTATAGACAAAATTTTCAGTAAAAAAAACATTGAAAGAACTTTATATATTATGAATTACGTGAATTTATATTAAACACAATATTATAATAATCGACAGAATACTGAAATGAAGGAATGAAAGTTATGAAGAGCATAAAACTTTTGTGTTTCTATCAGCATAATTTGTCACTTTCAGGCTTCTTATTTTAGCTAATATCTGCAAATGATGCAGTTTATTTTTATTAACGAATATGCATTAACATCAAATTAAGTGTCTAATTCTGCTAAAAAGAAGATGTTGACAGTATTTGGATGAAAATTGCATGCCACAAAAATAACAGTCATTTAAAATTCAAATTTAGTATACGTTCGTATGCGGGAAAACTCTTTGAATGTATTGGTTTTTGTAAATAAAATTTTCTCACTTTAAAATTATCCAAATAATTAATTAAAGTGATTTTAAAGCATCAAAGGCCCATTAAAAATGTTTAAAAGTGTCCACAAACCGTAATAAGAATGACGTGAAGCGAAATTAAGTGAAGTTAATAAGTAATTAGGGAGTTGTCTTTAAAATTTATAACAATTGTGATTTTGGGTGAAAAAAGTTAAAATAATTAAAATGCCAACGTTTGAAAATAATCTATTAAGCCCGACAGATCAGCTGTCTGTTAATCAGCAGCTTGCGAGTAGCTATTATATAAATTTCTTCAAGAATCTGAAGAGTTTATATGATGACGAAAAGTTCTTCGATGTAGAATTGCATTGTGAGAGCAATGGAAATGAAGAGAATGTAATTAAGGCACACAGAGTGATTTTATCAGCGAGTAGTAGCTACTTTGAGGCAATGTTTGGAAATGATTTTAATGAGAATAAGAATAAAATTGTAAAATTTCACTCGATTAGTTATAATATATTAAAAGCACTTGTATCATTCATCTACACGGGAAAGATTGAGATAAATCAAGTGAATGTTCAAGAGCTCTTAGCTGCTGCGGATATGCTTCAGTTAAATGAAGTCGTCGAAGGATGTTCAATGTATTTATGTCGAGAATTACATGCATCAAATGCACTAGGAATATTGAGATTCGCTGAGGCACACAGCTGTAAAGAGTTAGCAGACAGTGCCAATTCCTTCATTAATTCACACTTTCCAGAAGTTGCTGAACAAGAAGAAATTCTCGAAATTTCATCACAAATGTTTTCTCGTGTAATATCATCCGAAATGATAAGAGTCGATAGTGAATTTCAAGTCTTCTCAGCCGCTATGCGATGGATAAAGCATGAAGTCAGCAATCGAAAACGTTTTGTTTTTGACATTTTGTCAAACGTACGCTTATCACTAGTTCCATTAACATTGATTGAGAATGAAATTCAAAAATGCCGAGACATTTCACTTCAAATCGCACTGAGAAGTGTTTTAAAAGATTTGACACTCAGGCGAGGACAGTTGGTTCCAATTAATGCCAATCCTCGTTTTGGAGCGAAAAAATCTATTTACGTGATAGGTGGAAGTAAACGAGAATCAACCAGTGGATGGACTAATGATTGTATATTTGATAGTGTCATTAAGTACGATATATTTAGACGAGAATGGGTTGATGTAGCACCAATGGCTGTAGGACGAATTCTGCCTGGCACAACTGTTTTAAATTCTAAAATCTACGTTGTAGGCGGTGAACGTGGATCTCAAATATTTGCAAATGGCGAGGGTAAGTGTTGTTTCTATCTAGAAAGGTCGTCATTAAGCTTCTTAATAATTTACGTCATTAATATTTAACATAATTGCTTTGTCATCAGTTTACGATCCGATTTTAAATACATGGGAAAATTTGCCAGCTATGATGACACCGAGATGCGAATTTGGATTATGTGCTTTAGGTCTCACATTGTTTGCGTAAGTTCTAGCTATATCCTTACAGCACGAACTGATTCATAATTGTATGACTAATAACATCAATTTATTTAAACACAAAATTTAGTATCGGTGGATGGATAGGTGAGGACATTGGCGATTCAATTGAAAGCTATGATCCAATAAGCAAGAAATGGCAAATCGTCGATAAACTTCCAGAACCACGATTCAGCATGGGAGTCGTAAGTCACGTAGACATAAAATATTGCGCAGTTTATGCTCAACGGCTTGTTTTATCTTCTCTTTAACACAAAATAAACAGGTCTCATTTGAAGGATTAATCTACATTGTTGGAGGTTGTACGCAAAGCTCTCGCCATCTTCCCGATTTAATTAGTTATAATCCTGTTACCAAAGAGTTTACACATTTATCAAAAATGCAAACGGCGAGATGCCAAATGGGTGTTTCGATATTGGGAAGGCACTTGTATGTAGTTGGTGGAAATTCTAGTCACCAAGAAGTCTTACAAACTGTTGAACGATATTCTTTTGATGACGATAAATGGACGACTGTCTCTCCGATGACATATCCAAGAGCTTCACCAGCTGTCACTAGTGCTGATGGGTTTCTTTATGTTGCAGGCGGTGATCAGGTATGAATATACTGTGTACTATGCTCAGATCATGTCTAATGTGCAGTTTTACGTCATTTATTATTAATCCATTTCTTACAGACATGTGAAGTGAACTTCTATCGAGCGCAGATCACGATAAATTCATTTGAATGCTACAATCCACTTTCGGATACATGGAAGCTATGTAACGCGTTGCCAACAAGTCGAAGTGAAGCTGGTGCTGTTGTGATTTAAAAATGATGATATTCTCATTTAAAAAATGATTATTTATGATATTTCTAATAAGTATGAGAGTTAATTTGAAGAAATGGCAAAAAAGCTTCATCTAAACACATCATTCAATTAATTTTAATTAAAGTCATTGTACTACACATTAATTTAATTGCATTCATCTCACATCTTATATATATGTTCCTACTGAGGCAAAAAAAAAGAATAATATTCACGTAACGCTATGTCAAAAAAGTCACATATGTTTAATTATTGGTAGTGCGCATTTAAAGTATTTATTCTAAACAAATATGTTGATATTCAATAAAAATATTACATTAATTGCATTGTGTAAGATAAAAAGAAAAGGATTCATTAAATAGAATAAAATTCTAGAATTTTTAAAGTATTTATCACACACAGATTAAATTGATGGGTTTTATTTTTTTGTAGTTTTTATGGTGTTTTCAGTTTTTAAGTATTCATCAAATTTGTAATGTTAAATAAAATTTGATTTCAACTCCAATTCTATTTCGATTCTAGAATCAGAATTAAAATTGAACGAATCAATTCTGGAATTGTAATTGAAATTCTTCTTTGAAATATTACCAATAACTTGATGTTTCGACAGGAAGTGAACAAAAAATGAAGGCAATTAAGTTAAATAAGAGCATATGGTCCAATATGGACGTAAAGTCCATCCAATCGAATGCAATTTCGATTCTTTTATTTCGATTCTAGAATTTTAATCAGAATTTTAATTCACTACTTCAGCCACACCATTCGTGTAACTGACACCTGTAAAATCTCAAAATCATTAAAATAACTAATCAATTAAATTTTTCTGACTTTCTTTACATTTATTCAATGTATATCGACTCTCATAATTTATTATCACTTAAAAACTCAACACGATCATTTTTCCATAAATATTTTTCATATGTTTGAGTGTTTTCCGGTCGCTGAGAAGTAAAATTACAAAGCATACATGTTTTAAAAAACGATTAATAACATGAATCGATTGTGTCGTCGATGTGCTTCTAGTCAGTTACATTTTTTTGCTTGAAAAGTTTTTACTAAAGCGAATAATAAGTTAAAAATGTTTTCTAGTCACGATAAAGTTTATCACATGGAGAAAATAATGAATATTTTCATTTTTGTGTATAATTAATTTAATTAGGTAAATAATAAAGAGTTAATCATGTAAATAATATAACAGATACATAAAATATTTGATGCGGCTTGATTAAGAATAATAAAAATTAAACGTTGACGATTGTTCAAAAAATGCATAAAAAATTTGTAAATCATAATTTCCTTATGACAATTTAACATATGAAGGTGGTGAACATTTTTGACGTAGAAATTTGAGGATGTAGAGCGGTATGCATGAAATACCGGTAATCATCGCTACTTTCAATATGAAATCTTTCGTGGTAATGAATTCCCAATCTGTTGAATAAATAAGATATTATTATTTCTGGGTGACAATTTATCGATCAAACATGTAAATCTTCGAATAATGCCATAAAAAGCAATGAAAGAGAGGCAATTTAACACTTGACATTTACTTAATTTCAGTGAGCATAACAGAACGTTAAAAGGCTTTTGATTTTGTTGTAGATGATTGATTATTAGCACATTCTATACCTAGATGTTGCTCATAAGTAGGGTTTGTAAAAAACAGCTGTTTTTGAAAAACAGTCTGTTTTCGGTTTTTGATTTTTAAAAACAGCTGTTTTCCTGTTTTTCTAGAATTCAAAATAAACTGAGTTATCCTAAGTGTTTCTCTAAGATAATGAAACTTTTTGGTGGTTATAAGCAGTTAAGCATACATTATAGAGCTAAGCATCATTATTTCTTAATTTTTCGTTAATTAACTCTATAAAATATAATGGAATATAATGGAATGTTAAAAGATTTTTTGTCGAAAAACAGCTGTTTTTCTTTTTTCTGTTAACAGGTTTCCCAAACCCTACTCATAAGAGCTTTTTGTCTATGCTGTACTCTTTTATTGTGTCCCTTATTTTTTAAACTTATTTTGAGGGTTGGTTTAATATAAATGCTTTGCATAGAAATGCGCTTCCATGATGCATTCATGACTTCTTCGTTGAGTATCATTTGCCATGACTGCATTTTCATGACAAAAATCGGTAATTTTAAATGAAATTTTCTTTGCTTCTTTTTATTCTCGGCATAAAAGTTTATTAAGAAGCTTTAGAGAACTTTAAAAAGAACTGTTCTCAAAGTAAATTCTTATGGCTTCTCTCTCAATATCAAAATGAATTTTTCATCGAAATTACTTACCGAAATATTGTTTGAAGATGAAGAGAGAGATGATGTATATTCCTAAACTAAACAATTCAGCTACAACCATTAATCTGTGAATAAATCATTAGAAATTAATAAAGCATGAAGCAATATTACACACTATAAACCTTACCTATGCCATGTTCTAATTGTCAACGCAACCATAATGAGTTCTGTCAAAATTAATGCTGTGAAACTAATCGCTACTATGTGAATGAATTCATCTTCAAATAGAACTAATGCGCCATACATTATAACACCACCTGAGGATTAAATATTAATAATAATTAAAAATTAAGAATTCATTGAATTATGGTTTTACAAAATGAGTAAAAAGGATGTAAAGGAATGTTATGATATGGGTTAAAAAGTTACGCAAAAAAACGACTTTTTTCACCCCCCCTCCCCCCCTTGTTACAATATGTTACAACTCACAGCCCCCCCCCCCCCCCCCTGAACGTACATAATTTATTTTATTTTGATAATTTTTTATTCTAAAAAGACGGTTAAATTTCTTTGGTATTTTTTTTCTTAAACATCAAAATACTGTACAGCTAAATAGGTCATTTTTTGATTGATACTATTAGTATTCTCATGAAGTATTAGATTGAGATATAAAGCAAAAATTTGTTTTTTTTGAAGAAAATTCAAAAATTTTATGCCCGATCGAATTTTGCAAAATTCAATCAACTTTGAATGTAAATATCACAATGATGGGATCATATGGCAATATGATGGGAATATCACCCCCCCCCCCCCCTATGTTACATTTTGTTACAATTTTTCAAACCCCCCCTCTCCCCTAAAATACGAACGTAATAAGTGAACGGCCCCATGTAGCATCAGCACATAAATTTAGGTAATACCAATGCGCAAAAAATTAAACAATACGAGTGATAAGCTTTTATTTGAGCTGTCAATCAATTCAAACACAATTGCTCATCAGTCTTGAAAAGAAAAATAACGAAGGCAATGACAATACATTACTTACCTTGACATATCGATATCAGAACCCACATGAAGAAGGTTTTATAAGAAAGCGATCTTCCTTTCGCTAAATCTTTATAAAGCTCGGGAAATCTTAACGCTACTTTTTCATTAATGTCCTGATCCAGAACGAGTGAAAATACAGGGAACTGGAATAAAATTAAATAATTTTAATTTAGGACGTGATTTTTGACATTTAACGAACTCACCATAGTATAAATCGTCGCATAACCAACCATAAGGAAACCTTGATAAACAGACACAGATGACATGTAGAAAACAGCTGAGAATATAGCTTGCATAGTTGTAATGATGAGTCCTCGATGGATAACAAATTGTGATAGCTGTGCTGATCTTTTATAAGATCTACGTCCGTGCAAAACGAGAAGCTTCGCGATATACTTAAATTGTGGAATACTAAAATCACCTGCCAATGAAGCTTGCTTGCCTTCACGTCCTTCAATACCAATTCCTGCATCCGATTGTTGAATCATGCTAACATCATTTCCACCATCACCAACTGCACAAGTACGCTTTCCTGTGTGCTTTTGAATTAATCTAACGACTTCCGCTTTTTGGGTCGGACTGCACCGACAACATACGACAGCAGGAGATTGAGTAGCTAGTTCCATAAATTCATACTGATAGTATTGAAGGCAAATTTCAAGGCTTTCTCCAGAAACGACTAATGCACAATCCTGCTTGCGTCTAAATTGATTTAATTCTAGGTGTGCATCTGTTCGTGTCTGAACACTTTTAAGAATATGAAGGTTTTGATTTCGACCGACTAAATGTGATGATTTTGCGATACAAGTTGCAGTTTCCAATTTATCGCCCGTCAACATCCAAATTTTAACGCCTGCATTTCTAATCAACTCTAAAGTTGGCCTAACTTGCTCTTGAAGACGATCCTCAACGCCTGTTAAACACAACAATTCCATTTCTCTTTCAATTGACTCAATGACTGTCTGAACTCTTTGAATTCTATCCGTTATGCTTAATCTTGCTGCATTATATTTTGACTCAAAATCAAGATATTGTTCAGTTGATAATATTTTCTTGGCAACAACTAATGTCCTTAAACCTTCTCGTGCCATATTTCCACTTTCCTCGCTCAACCAATCGTTGTATTGCACAATCGATAGCATGACTACATCAGCACCTTTTAGATAGAATGTAATTTCACCACTGACTGTATCTTGCACAATAATTCCCATTCGTTTACTCTCACTTGTGAATGGAAAGATTTGAAGGATCTTATACTTGAGGAGCTTTTCGTGTGACATAGAATGTGAAATTGAACTTAAATCGGTTGTGGTTGTAAGTATCGAGGCGTTATCAGATGATGATGATTTGACTATTCCTGTCAATTGTAATGTTATGGAACTAAGGTCACGTTCAACTAATGCTAAACCAACATCCTCAGTCCATTTGACTAATGCAATTTCGTCAGGCGATGAAGCTTGATAAACTTTTTCAGCTTGAATTTCAACAGACACAGACTTTGCAATGGCTTCTGTATCAGTTTCTTCATAAACTGGTGTAACGTTGTGACATAATGCTAGTGCCTTTACAGCTTCCCATACTCTCCATCCTTCTGGACGTCGCATGATTGCAGATTTAGCTGTTTCTATTTGTTCACTGCTATTTGGATGAATTGTTCCACTTAATGACTGAATTGTTGATGCGACAAGTTCAAATGAGTCACTTCCATAAGCCACAGTTCCAAGATGAATTTTCTTAAAGACCATTTCATTTTGTGTTAATGTTCCTGTTTTATCGGTTAAGAGATATGAAATTCTTCCAAGTTCTTCAGGTATTGTCGTAGACCGTACAACTGTTCCTTGTATTTCGGGGTCATTTTGCATTTGCCATGAATAGAATGCCTTTCCCATATCCAAATTGACACGCAAACTAATTGGAATAATGTACGAGAACAATAGTACGAAACGGAACATGTAACGATACCAAGGTCCACCAAATCCTTTCATACACATCATCACGAAAGCAAGTGCAATGACTGCACAGAACAGAACTTTTGTAATTCCATTAATTTCCATATCAAGAAGTCCTATTTTTGATCTTGGTTGTGAATTGTTCATGACTGAACGTGTTTCATTGCCTGTATAGACAATAATTCCAGTTGCAGTTCCAGCTGCAACGACTGTATTTGCCCATAATGTATTTTGAAGATCCAGTGACTCTTCTTCGCCCCCTTCGCGACTAAATGTCCCAATAAAGGAATGAATATCACGTTGTGGCTTTTCAATATAGACACTTGCGTCCATATTCAGTAATTCTGAATCACATGTTACTTTTTGAGTTGCAGGAACTGCCAATCTTAACTTCCAATCGGTCTCTCCATCCAATTGATCTGTTCGAATGAAAACAGCACCGGATTTATCACTAGTTCTTAACAAGACAAGATCAGCTGGAATTCTTTCATCCTTTTCAACAATAATTATGTCACCGACTTTAAGTTTTGATGACGGAACCATCTCCAAATGTCCAGATTGCATTAATCGGCGATACTTTTGAGAATTAACTTCCCGATCGCGTTGAAAACGACGAAAATCATCAATAGCTTCACGAAAAATAGTCACAGTCAGGACGAAACCTAAGGGTCCCCAATAAGTGTACAAATATCCAATTTTAACTGATGGAATAAATTGAGAAAGAGCCATCACAAGGAAGTATAAATTTAGAAAGAATCTAAATTGTTCGAATAGCACTAAAGGTAAGAATGTAATGATATTATATTTCTGGAAGTAGATAAAAATGTCTTAGTATTAAAATATTGAAGATAAATGGATATTAGGTCACTTTACCTGATTTCTAATTTCATTTTTGACTTGATTTTTCTGTTTATCAAATCCTTGATATCGATGTCCAACATATACAGTACGGGATTTAAGTTCCCTTGGAGAAAACCACTTCTTCCATGCCCAGCACCAACATCTGCAACGAACCATAAAGGAATTAAGTTAGAAATGATTAAATTGCAAAACTATTACGCCATTATTCAAAACAAAAACAAAGAATATTAAATTTTCACGAATTTTACCCATTAAATATACTCCGTTGTGGCTTATTAATTAATGGAATGGTCTCTTTCATCACCACATGCGTTGGTGTGGCGATATTTTCCATAGCTACAAACTCAATTTTGATTAAATAATTATTTTTTCAAGACTTCGATAGAATTAAAAGTTTATTTATTTTAAAATCGTCGAATGACTGATTCCGTTATACCTAATTGCTGCTTACAACTTCTTATGTCCCCTTCCTTATTTAACACAGTCTATCCAAAATTACGATTAAGAATGTCTATAGAATATTAATCTGAACTGAATGTTTTGATGAGCTGGATCTTTATAATCATTAATTATACTATCTGCGAAAATGGCAATTTTTTTCACGGACTTTTTCGTCTAAAAAGCTGAGTTCGACTAAAAACAATAACAAATCTAAAAGTTCACCCCTAAAATTTTTCATTAACACTTATTAATGGGTTTATGCACGTATTTTATAAATGGCAATTGCCGATTTGGATCCAAATGTGTTAATGATCATATAGATCTTAAGTAAGTAGCATTATTAAGCTTTAAAGACAAATTTTTATCAGATATTTTTGTATGTTTTTAGAACTTTACTAAAAAATGAAGCTGATGCTGTAATTAATGGCAAGCAATGGCTATTGTCATGCTTTGGACCGTTCAAAGAGAGTGTTGTTGTACCAAACTTTATTCCTGATCAATCGTTTGAGGAAGTTCGAATTGCTTTTATGGAAAACAGCAAAAATGGGAATGTCCAGAACTATGTGAATAACTTAATGACTGAATATAATGATGCATTAAGAAAGATAAATGAAATAAGGACGCCATCAAGTGACACTCTGCAACTTATTGCTTCAATTTATAACACATCTAATTCTAATGAGCAGAAAGTGACCAAACCTGCTCAATCACAAGCTCCAAATCCTTTCCAATCAAGTAACATGTTCGGAGGAGCTACAACTCAGCCACAGACTATGCCTAGTTCGAGTATTTTTGGCGCTTCAACGACACAAAGCAATCCATTTCAACAAGCAACTCCTCAACAACCATCAAATTCTATGTTCGGATCGTCTACAACTAGTAATCCTCAATCGTCTGCTTTCTCATTTAATCAAGCAACTGTTCAGGATCAACAAAAGTCATCAATGTTTGGACAATCTGTTTTTGCTTCCGCTCAAAATCAAAGTGCTGGTTCTGCATTTTCTTCTAATCAATCAAATATTTTTGCACAGCAAGCAAGTGCATTTGCAATGCCTTCAGCACAAACAGGAACTTCCGTTTTTGGATCTTCAGCTGTGCAACAGCCTCCTCAATCAGTTTTCGGTTCAACTGCTATCCAGCAACCTGCTCAATCAGTTTTTGCAGCCACAAATTTACAACAAGGCACTCAGTCTGTTTTTGAAGGAAATACTAATGTTCAACAACCTGCACAGTCGATTTTTGGAGCAGCTACTCCTATGCAACCTGCTGCCCTGTCAGTTTTTGAATCCACTCCTATACAGCAAGGCACTCAATCCGTTTTTGGAGCTTCAGCGGTCCCACAAACCACACAAAATATTTTTGGAGGATCTACGATTACACCACAGCAACCAACACCGTCAGTTTTTGGAGCTGCGACTCAACAACCTGTCCAAAATGTATTTGGAGGAAGTATAATTCAAAATCAACAAGTTCCAAATGTATTTGGAGGAACTCCATCTTTACAGCCATCACAAAATGTTTTTTCAACTGTACAAAATCCACAAAATGTTTTTGGAGGGTTTAATCAAAATCAGGTACAAAGTCAGACATTTTCTCAAGCACCTTCAGTTTTTGGAAGTACACAACAGCCGCAGCAACAAAGTGACAGCATGTCCAGTAATATTTTTAACACACAAGCACCTCAAACAGGACAAAGTTTTGCTGGAAATCCGTTCCAACAAAATGTGACATTTAATGATGATCATTTTTATAGCAAGGACGAAGATCTATCGCCAGATTCCATTCAAGCATTTCAAGCTGAATCTTTTATACCTGGAAGAATCCCTATCATGCCTCCATCAAAAACTCTGGCTTATTGTTAGTTCTTATTTGTTGTCATGACTGAATAAATAAAGACAACTGAATAGTAAGTTTCAGTTAATCCAGTTTTCGAGAAAATTAGAAAACTTCCTCAAAAATCTAAACTTTTATTGATGCTTAAAAGCAAGCTTGAAGCGTTATAATGCTTTAAGGAAATGCGTTAATTAACTGGAAAGAGGATATAATATTAAATTAGTAGAAAAGTTGTAAACTTGATGCTTAGTGTTCATTTATGCTGCATCCTTCTTTCCTTTTTTTGCCTTTTTCTTCTCTTCTTCTTCAATTGGAGCTGGCTTCACGAATGGAATTTCTATCTTGTACTTCTCTGGCATGTACTTTTGCAATACTTCAGGAACCTAAGCATAAAAGTAAAATGAGCTTTTCACCTACAAAAAAAAATTATTATTAAGGTAGTTACTTTAACGCCAGTTTCAGTTTGATGAGTTTCAAGGATAGCGCAGATGACTCGCGTTGTAGCACACATAGTAGCATTAAGCATGTGTACAAAATCGATATTAGCATTCATCTTCTTTGTCATTCCATAACGAACGAGTAAACGACGTGCTTGGTAATCTAAGCAATTACTGCATGAGACCAATTCTCTAAATGCTCCAGAACCGCCAAACCAAGCTTCTAAATCGAGTTTCTTTGAGGCTGCATGATTCAAGGCGCCAGAAACAATGTTTACAACGCGATAAGGAATGCCAAGTGACTGACAAAAGTTTTCAGCATTTCCAATCATTTCTTCCATCATTTCCCACGATTTATTGTCGTGAGGTGATGTCAGCACAAATTGCTCGACTTTTTCAAATTGATGAACACGGAATATGCCACGTGTGTCACGTCCATGAGAACCAACTTCTTGACGGAAGCACGTTGAAATGCCAGCGTATTTAATTGGAAGTGATGCTTCTGGAATCCATTCGTCACGATGATAAGCTGCAATTGGTTGTTCTGATGTTGCAATCAAGTACTTTTCATCACTGTCTTCTGTCTTTTCGGATCCTTTTCCAACAACCTTATAAAGTTCCTCATCAAATTGTGACAATTGTGCAACCTCCTGCATAACTTCTTTACGCATAAAGAATGGAGTATAGAGAGGTGTATATCCTTTATCGAATAACATATGAAGTGAATGCTGAATAAGTGCATGTTCTAGGAACACAGCTGGTCCTGTAAGGAAATATCCACGTCCACCGCTAACTACGGCTCCTTTCTCGCCATTCATTCCATCAATCATGTGAATTAAGTCAACATGAGAATATTTATGCTTAGCTTCGCAATCTCCCCATGTTCTTTCAATGCCATTTTCATCTTCATCATTACTAACAGGGACTGATTCATGTAACCAATTGCCGACTTCTCTTAATGCACTATTACGTGTCGATTCATGTTGGACTAATCCTTTCTCATTCTCAACAATTGAATCATCAACAAATTGACGAACTTTCTTAATTTGAGCAACAGTCAATGGCTTTAAGTCATCAATCTTGAGATTCTCTAGTTTTGCAATTAATTCACTGGATACCGGGTCATCTTCATTTCCAGTACCTTCCTTCTTCTTCATTCGCTCGCCAATCTCTTTACTGCATAGATTTTTCAGTCTGTTATAAAGGTCGACTTTAAATCTGCTTTGTCTCCAAGCAACATCTAGAATGTATGACTCATATTGTGAAATTTAACTAATTCCAAAGATCTTTTTGGTATTCATACCTTCATCGATTACTGTCTCGACTAATTTCAAGTCTTTAAAACGCTTTTGCTGATTATCTCGAACTTTTTTAGGATCATGTCCTTTATCACTGCGGAAAAACTCTATATCCAAGACCATTTTAGTGCAATTAATTCACTTTTTTCACAAAATTAAATTCTGATGAAATGTGCCACGATTTTTCCTCAATGATTTTTTTAGACGACTTTATTCGACGAGTTTCATGTCCAATTCAGCTGTAGCCGTGTCTTGTCTTTTGATTGTGTTTGTGAAACTTACAGAAAATCTTGCAAAAACAATTAAATTAAATTTTTTGCATTAAAACAGCATTAAATTTAGTTGATTTTATTGGCAATAGCAAGGAAAAGATGAGAATTATGGCTGGATTATTAAAGCAAGTAAGGAACATTCGTAAATAATAAAATATCAGCTTACGCAATTTTTGTTCTATCACAAAAATGAAAACAACGAAATTTTTTATTTTTTAAGGCAACTGGATTGACTGGATTAGCAGTTAGCCCTAATCCCCATTATACATTAACAGCACTTTATGGAAAGATCCTTCGTGCACTTGCTAAAATGCCCCAAGATGCTGCTTACCGTAAATATACAGAACAAATTGTCAATGACCGTCTTAAAGCTGTTCAGACTGTAAGTAACTTACTTTTAGTGGTAATGGAAGTGATGATTTATACTTCTATTACAGTACAAAAATGTTGAGGCACTCGAAAATGCTGTTGGATGTGGACAAGCCGAAGAAATGATCTTACAGGCTGAGAAGGAATTAGTTTTAGCGAGAAAAATGTTGGGATGGAAGCCTTGGGAGCCTTTAATTCGTGAACCATCAGCTACTCAATGGCAATGGCCACCAGCTGAGAGAAAATAGGTTTTAATATATTCAAAATTATTGTCCCAAAATTTAGTTGATTTATGTGATGCATAGCCATTCACATAAAATTTGAATAAAATATGTATTACACATAATGTCAATATTATCACTTTGAGTAATGTAAACTGTTTACAGACTGATAATACCTAGGATTATAGCTTTTCAAATGATTCATGGTAATTTACGTGGTAAAATTCTGTTCCTGTTTATTTTTATGCAACTCACCCACAAAAGCATCTTTTAAATGTATCCATTGAACTGTATCTTCGATTAAGACCTGGATTAGGTATATCTCTGTCTATACAATCGTATTTATGCTTATTATTGAGCACTAATAATTCAGTTTCCTGCGAATCTTCGTCAGAATCGAAATACATTTGATTCCACCAATTTTTCAACTAAATTATTTCACTTAATCTACAGATTTTCAATGTTTCTAAGCACTTTTTTATGGTATTACATCAACCGTATTTGTAGTCATTCTACTAAAGCTACGAAAATAATATTTTTATTCAACACATATATTATATTTCTAGGGAAATTTCAAGACTACTAAGACATTCGAGTTTGGAAAGTTTTCGAGATGTTTGCAAGTAGATAAAGCATTTTGCATAAAGAACAGCTGATTCATATGAATTATTGATAATTTTTTATATTTATGTGATATCTAGGTGTGTGACTTGACAAGCATATTTTTTTTCAAAAACCAGTTAAATTAGTGGATTTGTATAAATTATCTACGTTAATGCTAAGTAAATGATGGATGATTGAAATACATATTATTGAAATTAAAGCAGATTATTTTCTGTAAAGTTTTGAAAAGTTGTTTCTAGTTTGGTCCGATCATACATCATCGATACTGTTGCGTATCACTTGTCACATGTCGTGCAACATTTTGCAACCAAAAAATGTGAATTCACAAAAAAAAATCATCAAACAAGTCAAAATGCTGTGTTCAAGGCACTTCTTTCAGAGATCAATGCTGAATGCTTGCAAAAACCTTAAATCTAAAATACTCGTTAAGACGAAATTTTGAAATTAGAGTATTTAAGTAATTTTTAAAATTGATCTACATTTTATTTTTGTCAATAAACAGCATGTCAAAAATTATAACAGGTGTTGTGAATGAATTTATGATTTGTTATTAATAAGAAGAAATCTTTTTTCGCAAAAATAAGCTTTTAGTTTAAATTTTTCATTTTCGTTACGAGAACTTGAAAAAGCTTCTCTTTTACAAAATATTCATGAATCATGACAGATAGTCAATGATGGATGCTTAGTATTTGAAGGAACAGCATAAATTTTAATTCCTAATGTGAAAATAATAAAACTCATGAAATCTGGTACTTACTTCTAAAAACTTATTTTACATGACTCCACAATGATTCAGATTCAGAAAAAATGTTCAAAAATTCAAAAATAACATATTAATTAAACTTCATCTTTTAAATGCCAGATTAAAGATCTTAACTTAGGGCATATTCAGTGAAAATATCTCGTTTCATTTGGATGTTTAACTCCAGAAATCTTTAATTTATTTTCAACAAAAATTTGTTTACATTTTGTATATGAAAAAATTTCCTTGATTTTCCCTACTTTAAGTTGTTATTTCCTTATCTTGCTAGCTGTTGTTAGCTAAGTTAAGCTTAGATTTGCATATTAAAACTACCAAACCAAAAGAAAACTGCTTATTAAGTCTTAAAATGCAATTGAAATCTGTGAATTTTTACAAAACTTAAACTATTCATAAGTTAAAAAGTCTTCCAAAAACCTCTCTGAAACCTTTATAAATTAATTAATTAAGCTTAAATCTATCTCCCATATTACTGAGGAGATGCCGTTTGAGAGATATTTGCGATCAAAGTCTACATAAATTTTCAATTTTTTTTTTAAATTTGATCATGCACAATATTTTTTGATAAACTTTTACAACTTTTGGTAAAAAATCATGTTTATTTATCCTTTATATTAAGGACTGATTTTTGAGCAATGAACGAAAACATTATGTAGAAAATGCTAAGGGGCCGTTCACTTATTACGTTCGCATTTTAGGGGGGAGGGGGGGTTGAAAAATTGTAACAAAATTTAACTTAGGGGGGGGGGGGGGGTGTCAAGAAATATGTAACGTTCTAAAAAACGTAAATTAATAAAAACGGTAATACTTAATTCATACCAAAAACCTTTTTTTAAATTATGAACGTTCAGGGGGGGGGGGGGGGGGGTTGTGAGTTGTAACATATTGTAACAAGGGGGAGTGGGGTGAAAAAAGTCGTTTTTTTGCGTAACGTAATAAGTGAACGGCCCCTAGAAGAATCAAATCAAAAGAAATTAACAAAAACTTTCAATTTTTTAATGTGTCGGAAAAATATTGTGCACAAGGAATTTTTGAACATTTTTTCCGAATCTGAATCATTGTGGACTCATTTTCTTATCTTGTTGACACATCGTTCTATCTGGAATCCTTGGAATCCTATTTAGGCTATTAAGTAATGCAATCGTAAAAGTAATATAATTAATGATCTAATATCCAGCAGCTGATTCAAAACACTGTCTAGTTAACTGTAACTAGATTCGGAATGTCGAAAAATTATATAGGTCAAGTAGCTACGAAAACTTATCACAAAACAAAATTAGAAGATGAGAAGAGGTCCATTAGAAAGAGAAAAGAACAAGTCGAGACTGCATTTCTTTCTTTCACCTGGAGAGATAGAGTTCAGTAAGTTATTTTATAGTCAAAAAATAAGCTCAGTTTGCTCTTAAGTCTCGAATTAACAACATGAAGTGGATCATAATTTTGTCATTATTTGCCAGTGCTTATTGCTTTTCTAATTTAACATTTACACAGTGGCGTTTAAGATACAGAGTCACATTCCCAAGTACAAAGGAAAGAAGGCAGCGTGAAAAAATATTTATTGACACAAAAAATGAGATTGTTGCTTTTAATTCAAATCCCAATATCACATACGAGAAGGACCTTAATCCATACACACATTTAAGCTGTGAGGAATTTATCTCCACTCGATGTGGAACTAAACTTCCAGAACGTCTGAGAAATAATCCTCAAGCTATAGTCGAGGATGTTTTAGACGCAAGAATTGCATATCCTTTTGGCAATTACACATCAGCTGATGCACCGGACTACACTGATTTTACAAATTTAATGCAACCTGTTCAAAATCAATTGTCATGTGGTTCATGCTGGGCATTTTCTGTAATGAGTCAACTTGGTAATAAAATTTAGGTCAATCTTTTATGACGTTCGACATTTTGAAGAGATTGATTAACTATTCAATCTTTAGTTTGACGTCATGTTCACTACCTCAATTATAATATCATAATAATCAAACTTTCCAATTCTAAAATCACATCTTTTTTCAGAAGGGCTATTGAAAATCAAAGATTCATCATTCAACACACTTTTAGCACCTCAATTCTTACTAGATTGTAATACAGCACAAGTTGGATGCATAGGAGGCTGGCCTACTGATGCACTATGTAATCATTGACAATATCATCCAGGCTTTTATAATTACACAATCATTTTATTTTATAGCATGGCTGAAAACCAAATTAGGAGGAAATAACAAAGCACCAAGTCAACTTTTGTATCCTTACCGAGCAGCAGTAAAAACTTGTAGGAAAACACTGTCAACTATAAATTTAGATATCCAACAAGTTAGAGAGAGATATTTGGGTGGAAATGAAGGAGCTCTAAAGGCACAAATTGCTAATTTTGGTCCAACAATTGTTGCAATTTATGCCTCAAATGATTTTCAATATTACAGCAGTGGAGTCTTTTATGATCCAACATGTCCTTCTGGAAATACATGCTTAATATTAAATCACGCAGTAACGATTGTTGGCTATGGAACTCATCCAACTTATGGTGATTATTGGTAAGTTCAGAATATTTGACTTTATAAGTTAAAAATTAACTTTAAGTTTTAATTTTTTGAAATTTAGGTTGGTCAGAAATTCTTGGGGATCAGATTGGGGAGAAGATGGATACATCCGTATGGCAAGGAATAGAAATAACAACTGCAATATTGCATGCTACGCTATGTTTGCGCAGTGAATTCAAATCAATTATATTAGTTATAAAAGGTTGATAATTCAAATGATTTACAACCATAATTAGAGTAAAATACTATAAAAAAATTGTTTTTCTTTAAGCAATTGATAACCAGCAAACTTTAAAATTTATTAAATACAAAACACTTATTTGAGTAAACAATAAAAAGATTTGTTATTTTATTCCAGCTATTCTTTTTATCCAATTCAGGGCGGATGGAATTTTACTATAGATTCCTGGATATTCTTTCATAGCACAACCATATCCGAAAGATATTACTCCACAAAGAGTTCCGTTACATACTAGTGGTCCACCCTAAAATTAATTTATGGTTATTAAGGCACACAATATGACATATACTTAATAAATGTTTACCGAATCACCTAAACATGCGTCTCGAGTTCCATCAGGTACCGAACCACATAACATACGATCCGTTATATTCTGATTTGAATTCCCATACTGAGACTGACAGTATTTAAAATCGGAAATCTGGATAGTTGTCATCATCAGTTCATTTGGAGGATCTTCAATGTCATTGAAGCTTTGAAGACCCCAACCAGAAACTGTACAATTTGTACCAACGTTTAAAGTTGTACTTCTGGTTGGTAACATTGCTGGTTGGATGTAATTCGAATATTTAACTGAATTGTTGAGTCTTAAAAGTGCAAAGTCAAAATCAAAAGTTCTTGAATTATATTGAGGATGTGCGTAGTATTTTGTAACATTAACCATAATTCCACCATGTTGACGGTATGAGGAACCAAGACGCACAGTTATTTGTGATGGAAAAAAATATGTACAATGTGCTATAAGGAATAATGCAAGTCGTGATAGGAATTAATAGTATCCGATTATATTCTCAGCTTACCTGCAGTTAGAATAAATAATGGCGAGATTAGACTTCCTGAACATACGAAATCATTGTTGCTATAGTAAACAACTTGAAATGGAAAATTCAGAATATTTGCAGCACTTCCACCGACAATTTTAAAATTTCTACATTCTGCAGAATTAATTATTGTAAAAATTGTAAAAACTATGAAAATTTGCTTTGGTATATTCAAAGTGAGCCTCATATTGAGAATGAAAAATGAAATTTGAGATTTTGCTTTGAAATATAATTTATATGGTCATAAACATTAAAGTTTTATCACGATTTATAATACTTAGTGCACGACTTTAATTTTTATTTGATTAAAACAAACTAGTTTTGGACTTTAAGTTTTGCATTTTTATTTTATTTGTCATTTGAAGTTTTAATTCTGATGCCTCTTCGAACTTCAGAGTCTGTTCCTATAAATATTGTTTTATATTGCTGATTCGAATTCTAGCTTTACTAAAATTTTAAAAATCAAACTTTAAGCCTTCTTCAGCCTATCACAATTGTGAACATCAATACAAATTAATACAAACATATACAATGTAAATGAGAATTTATTTACATTGCTTGTTTCATCTCCATCTTTCTTTACTTGATATTTATTCTTTGTGCATTGCCACTAAAGGACTTAATGTTATTTAATTGATGTAATACAGAATGTTTTCAATTTAATGCAATTTTCTGATTCTTTAGAAAAGAAAACTCAATTATGAGGTACTTGTGGCAACATTGCAAAAGAAAGAAATTCAATGTGAAATAGCTTAACATCGTCAAATCTCCAAGTAGTATCATATTTACGGTAGAAATGCAATCAATTAAATTGGCGTCAAAAAATTAGGAATTTTATTTTCCAATTTTTCTTTTGATAATTTGTAATGAATCTAATTGTGAATCTGAAATTTATAATTTATTTTTATTGGATTTACTTTACTTTCCTCTTCGTCCTCTGAACTTCATAAGCACACAAAATGAAATTTAAAGAAAATTTTAAACTGTTAGAAAATGTTTATCTTCCCTCTTTTTATTTACTTGACTTGTTCCTATTTGTACTTGACCTTGTTAAAAATGTATATTTAAGATCCTGCAATCCTTTTCATGAAAAAAAATTATGTATATAAGAATTATCGAATTTAAAATGTTAGACATCATTAGTGAATAATTTTTTCTGTAATTTCAAGGATAAATTCAAAGCAAAAGACTAGGGTTTGGGGAACCTGTTAACAGAAAACAGAAAAACAGCTGTTTTTCGACAAAAATCTGTAAACGGAAAACAGGTCTCAAACTAATCCTGAATTGTGTCGCTATTTTGTCAAGTGTTTTAAGATAAAGAATTTGTTTTTTGGTTTCCACAGTGAAGAGTATGAACAAAATTCAGATGGGGTAGTCGAAATTTTAGGTTTTGATTTCTTTTAAGCTATGCATTACAAAAAGTAATATTGGTATGTGATTTATGTCAGAATTATGTCAATTCAAATAAAACACCCAAAAAATTTTTTTGAGCAAAAAACCAAGAAGGAAATACATTTTCAATTTTGGACTAGGGGCGACCCTAGTCAAAATCAATTTTGTCACTTTCTTCTTCGAGGGTTTATCCAAATGGATTGAAACTTTTCATAAATATTTAAGTGCTTAAAACAAATACAAATAAAACATCGTAAAATTTTTTTGAGCAAAGAACCAAGAAGGAAGTACATTTTCAATTTTGGACTAGGGGCGACCCTAAAAATAATAAAAATCATTTTTTTGGACAAGATTTTAAGTCACGTTGTTTTTGAATGTACAACCAAATTTATAGAATTTGGGTCTGACGACATATGGAATACATTTCTTGCTTTAGATATTTAAAACTGTTTTGTATAAATCAGAGATCGAAGCCGATTTTTTCGGCTTAACTCAATTTTTGATTTTTTTGATAGAAAGAAGCCATTTGACACCCATTTCAAGTATTTAAATTGAACTTTACATGCTTTACTATGATTCTGTGTAATATTTTGTCAGCATGTAGCTATAGTGAGCTCAGAATTTAAATTTAGCCGATTTTAAGCCGATCGGCTTAAATTTCGGCTTAACATCGTTTAACTTGAAATTCTGAGCTCACTATAGCTACATGCTGACAAAATATTACACAGAATCATAGTAAAGCATGTAAAGTTCAATTTAAATACTTGAAATGGGTGTCAAATGGCTTTTTTCTATCAAAAAAATCAAAAATTGAGTTAAGCCGAAAAAATCGGCTTCGATCTCTGGTATAAATATTAGTATACTCACACAAAGTTTCACTGTAACTTGATTCTTTGCTCAAAACAATTTAGGATGTTTTATTTGTATTTTTTTTAAGCACTAGAATATTTATGCAAAGTTTCAATCCATTTGGATAAACCATCGAAAAAAAAAGTGACAACATTGATTTTGACTAGGGTCGCCCCTAGTCCAAAATTGAAAATGTATTTCCTTCTTGGTTCTTTGCTCAAAAAAATTTTAGGATGTTTTAATTGTATTTGTTTTAAGCACTAGAATATGTATGCAAAGTTTCAATCCATTTGGATAAATCCTCGAAGAAAAAAGTGACAAAATTGATTTTGACTAGGGTAGCCCCTAGTCCAAAATTGAAAATGTATTTCCTCCTTGGTTCTTTGCTCAAAAAAATTTTAAGATGTTTTATTTGTATTTGTTTTAAGCATTTAAATATTCATGCGAAGTTTCAATCCATTTGGATAAACCATCGAAAAAAAAAGTAACAAAATTGATTTTGACTAGGGTCGCCCCTAGTCCAAAATTGAAAATGTATTTCCTCCTTGGTTCTTTGCTCAAAAAAATTTTAGGATGTTTTATTTGTACTTGTTTTAAGCATTAGAACATTTATGCAACGTTTCAATCCATTTGGATAAACCCTCGAAGAAAAAAGTGACAAAATTGATTTTGACTAGGGTCGCCCCTAGTCCAAAATTGAAATTGTATTTCCTACTTGGTTCTTTGCTCAAAAAAATTTTAAGGTGTTTTATTTGTATTTGTTTTAAGTACTAGAATATTTATGCAAAGTTTCAATCCATTTGGATAAACCCTCGAAGAAAAAAATGACAAAATTGATTTTGACTAGGGTCGCCCCTAGTCCAAAATTGAAATTGTATTTCCTACTTGGTTCTTTGCTCAAAAAAATTTTAGAATGTTTTATTTGTACTTGTTTTAAGCATTAGAACATTTATGCAAAGTTTCAATCCATTTGGATAAACCCTCGAAGAAAAAAATGACAAAATTGATTTTGACTAGGGTCGCCCCTAGTCCAAAATTGAAAATGTATTTCCTCCTTGGTTCTTTGCTCAAAAAAATTTTAAGATGTTTTATTTGTATTTGTTTTAAGTACTAGAATATTTTTGCAAAGTTTCAATCCATTTGGATAAACCCTCGAAGAAAAAAGTGACAAAATTGATTATGACTAGGGTCGCCCCTAGTCCAAAATTGAAAATGTATTTCCTACTTGGTTCTTTGCTCAAAAAAATTTTAGGATGTTTTATTTGAATTGACATAATTCTGACATAAATCACATACCAATATTACTTTTTGTAATGCATAGCTTAAAAAAAATCGAAATCTAAAATTTCGACTACCCCATCTGAATTTTGTTCATACTCTTCACTGTGGAAACCAAAAAACAAATTCTTTATCTTAAAACACTTGACAAAATAGCGACATAATTCAGGATTAATTGCTTTTTAATAATATTTTTACATTTACGAGAAAATGTGGTTCAAATAAGTGTGAAGTATGGCCGAGATTTGGACCAAAATCAGCTATACTGGTTCATAGTGCTCCCGAGGGTGACAAAATTCAAACTAAGTGTTTTTGTAGCTGACATAATTATGACATAAATTAGGTATATCTTTTGAACTGTGTCGATATGGGTCTCGGCCGTACTTCACGCCCACCCTTCAAACTTATGCTGAGCAAATCTTTGTCTATCCATAAGACTTTTGATGGTACGGTGTGAATATATCCGCATTGGGTTTCTACCCGATACACTAGTTTTGTTATTGATTCTTTTTTCACTATTTTTCTTTTGAACTTCTTAAATAAGTTGTGTGAAAATATGAAGTTATTTTTATGATTTTTTAAACTTTTTTTTAAACTTTGAGCTTTCTGCAAAAAGCTGTAATTTCTTTTGTTGAAGCTTTGATTTTTTTTCAAAACTATTCAATTTTTTTTTCGTAGATTTTCTTCATCAATCTCGGCAAATCCTCACTGAAATGTTCTGTTTACCATATAAAATGATTTTGTTAAAACAATTCTGACACTATTCAATTATACATGTGTTTTCTTATTTTCTTTTTGATAAATTTTTCACTCTTGCAAGATTGTAATTTAACAAGTTTATTCCAAGACAAGATCGATCTTTATATTGTATCTTGTTTATTAAAGAAACCATTAAATTTCTCACCTTTTAAGGGTCTTTGATTTCATCAAAGATAAAATTTAAATCTTATTAAAAGCTTTTCAATAAAAAATAAACTTAAACAAAAATGTTAAAATGAGAATTTCTTTTCAGAATACCCTCAAAATGCGATTAAAATCTTAGAAGCAACCTTTTTTCACACTTAATATTTTTATCTTTGTTTCTTGAGTCTTCTTGATTCAGCAAAGAAAAAGCTGAACATTTTAATCACGTGGTGGATTTGTTTTGATATATTCAAAGTTAAAGAAGCACATTTCGGCAAACTTCCTTGTGCTCAAAAAATAAGTTTCCAAGAAATTAGCTTATCATTATTCCATGAAATTCTTTAAAAGTTTCAATCACTCTTATTTTGAATCCCCTGGTATCTTAATTTATACTATATTATACTATTTATACTTAATATTGATTATAAAAGTCACGTCACACGAAACATAATTTAAACAAAATTTGAGTCAACTTTAAACACTGGTTGTCAAGCCTTTCCCAACATAGTTCGAACAGTAATAGCTCTTCCAATTACCTCGGGAAACATTCACCTTTCATCAGCTTCAAAGACAAATTTCATAATAAAACATTCATCGTTGGAGATATGCCGAGATATGTAATTGTAGCTACGTGCTTTTTATCCTTTTGCCACTTTCACGAAATATTGCTTCAATGAATATACTTATATACCCTCAAGATATTCAAATCCAATTGAATTTATCATTTATTCATGAACTCAAGTGAGAAAAAAATCGCTTCAACTTGTAAGCTTTTGCCCCACTTGTTTACCTCTTTTTTTGCGACATGGAAGCTCTTCGAGTCGTTTTTCAAATGATTCAGATTTTATTAAACAAAAGTTTTGAAGAATTTTTGAGAGTTGACAATGACAGTGAAATTGGTAAAAAAATGTTTTTGAAGAGTTTTGGAAATGAATGTGAATGTTTTTTATTCTGGATGATGGATGTGGGTGTTGTAAATAGAAAACTTGTAAACTCATCAATATACAAAAATAATTCAATAATTTTTGAGAATATTTAGAAAACTTATTATTATGAAGATTTCACCAGATAACAATCTTGGAAGAAAAATAATTTTATCATCTGAATCTATTTAATTCTGCCAAATCTGATTAAATTGAACTAATCTTCTA